TCTGCCAATTTTGTTTGTCGCAAACACTCGTATACTATATGTTGTCCAAGGAAGAAGACCTGTGAGAGAGGCAGTCGTGGAGAGACTGGAAACCACACAGGCACTGCTTGAGAGTGATCCTTGACAATCCACATCTTTAAAGATCTGACTATCTTCACTGATTTCGACTGTATAGTTCTTAATGTCACTATTTCCATGAAAACCAGAATTCCAAGAGATATTTACAACTCGTGAACCCTTTGAGCCAACAGTGATATTCTGTGGTGGGTTGGGACCAACTGAAGAATTAAACAACATTTCAATGAATATTAAAATGTACAATTGCGTTTGACGATCATTGCACACCACATCGTTCAAAAAAATATACCTTGAATAACTACTGACGTTGTATCTGAGGAATTGCCAACAGCGTTTGTCACAAAGCAGCCATAATTTCCCTCATCCTCCTTGGTACTTGATGAAATTAACAGCTGCGATTGACTTTCAGTGAATTGTGTAATATACACTCGTCCATTACTGATCTCGCTATAATTTCGAGCTATCACATTGCCATCTTTTAACCATTGCACTTCCAACACCGGTGGGGAAGCATTATACCGGCAAGTCAGCTGGATATGTTTGCTTATTTCAACAAATTTTGGTTCACTGCCACCAATTTTGACATCTGCTCTATCTGCAATCATGAAAATGTTCAAGTTTGTCACTAGAAATGAGAACAGTATTTGAAATATTTATACACATTACATGTCCTCGTAGATTTTTTGGCGTGTAGCATCGCGTACAAGGCTTGTCAACATAACAAAAAATACTCATCGACACTTCAACCAACACATTTATAGCTACAACAGGTTCTTCATGATCCATTACCTTTTTTTCATATGCATTTCTTTTAAGGCAAGAAAAGCGAAGCTTATAGAGATAAGGGTTTTGTGAAGGGTCTCGCATAACACTTACAATTGCATCAAAACGGTTCATGAGACATCAACTTGACACCAAGGGTTTCAAAACAATTCTAGGTCTGATTTATTTCTAGCAGTTCTAAAATCATCGATATAAAACATAAAAAAAAATGTAAACAATACTTTTCTTCTTCTATGAAAAAACTCAGGCAAGCGTATAGCCAACCTGTCAAACATTTTTTTTACTTACCGTAAAAATTATTAAACTGTCCAAATAAACGAACAATACATATACCTTATTATGCGTTTTTATCTGTAGCATTGCTGAGTATTTCTACGAGTTGCGCCGTATTTTGACGAGACCTTAGGGCGAGTCAAAATACAAATAGCAATAAAAATTCTCAGCGATACTACACAACAAAACGGTTGATAAGAAATTCATTATTTCAACACGCCAAATTATTATTTCAGTGCGTGTGAATTTCGCGGATGCTCATTTACGGAGTGCGGGACAGATGTATGCAAGGCGGAACGGAATTGGAGCGGTATTTTCTTCAATAAATGATGGAATTTCATTGTCTTGCAACTGCTTTTCTTGGTTCGATTTATCTAATAGACTTGGATCAATATTCGCCAGCCATTTCGACTCTTCGTCGTCAGAATAATAATTTAAATTTTCCGCCATAGTTTTCGTGACTTCAATTCAATTCGTCACTTGCGCGATACGAGAAAACTTGTCTAACAGGTTCTCTGGAGTACAAATACTCGTTTTGGGCACTATTTGCTCTATACGATGCTCAGTTGGATAATATGGCGTGTTACTGTACACAATATTGAGCTAGCTTGCAGCTGTACAAATATTTCAACTGACATCCAGCTACAAGATTTCGACTCAGCGAAGAGGTTTTTCAAGTTTTATCAAACAGGTATATAAAGGGTGCCTACACGTGACACACCCACGACAAAAGTGTGGATGA